ACCAAGAACCATATTAAAAATGGCTTTCTAATTTGTACTTAAAATGGACAACTTCCATTCATAAGACGGACTAAAAATCCAGAGTCAAGATGGCAAGTGATCCGAATCAAGAGGCAAGCCAAGAGTGACAAAGTCACAGCCACAAGAAGGACAAGGTCCCAACAAGAGTGCCAGGTGATCAAACAGTCCGTACAAGTGGGCGAGTTACATGAGCGTCTTTAACGTCTTAAAGGATACCAACATGACAATGCAAAGTGATAAGAGGTAGCCAAGGTACCAAGATCAACTTTCAAATATTTCTGCAGTTAAAAGAGTGCAAGTACAAGTTTATACACAAACTCAGTGCTTTAGCAAAGAACCATTCTAACACAATTTTGCGAGTTCAGACCGTAGACCAACCAACGTTTCAAGGTCCTCAACTTGTTCAAGAGTATATACAACCTTAAAAATACAATTAAATAACTTTTTTAACTTCTATTAGCTCAGTAATGTTGACGTAAAATAGGATCATCATCACAAGTAAGCCTAGCATGTACAAATACAACTATGCTCCCAAAACAGTGAATCTGTCCAGCCTGATACCTCAAGTCGCAAGTTAGATTTGCAAAGGAAAACGGCAAAACTAAACTTTATAACCTTCATGAAAGATGTAGGTACATCTCTAAAGGTTGCAAATAAACAAGAATCACCGCAAAATATATTTTTTACAAAAAGATATATTCAAAACACTACAGCTGATCATGCAGGATTACAATTTCCGAAATCTGGGCAGAACGTGCCCTATGTTGCGTCCCATATTTTGTGTTCATAACAGTTAAATTAGAGTTTTACATAAACATAAGAGTGTAGGTATACGAGTTAGCTTTCCAAATCATATTTATTCATTGTAAACGAAGTTCTAGAGAACAAGATATGCATAACTTACATATGAAAGGAATGCCATAGCCTATCGATTTATTTTCAACATAGCTTTTCATTTATCAAGAAGAGCACCTAAGCCTACCAAGTCAAGACATGACATTCAACAATATAAGGCACTTCACATTCCATCATCTTCATTCATAAGTGTTAAGAGAGAACATACTTTTAATCACAAAACAATAATACTTTATTCAAGCTCACCTTGGGATCCCATGAACACATTTATATTCACAGCATGATTACCTTTACTTCATTAGATTCTCATTCAAATCATTTACATCACATTCACATATATGATATCATGTCAACACTTCAATTCCTCGTATAATGCCTTCAAGGCCATAATCATAATACATTCAATAAGTAAACATCTCCACCATAAGTGGATCACACATCAATCTATCACAATTCTATATCAATTCTACATTAACAATGAAGTTAGGTCAACTTACCCTTTTCCAAAGCCACAATCACCATTCCTCAATTCTTCAACAACTCTCAATAGATAAACATAGATAATAATAGAAATCAACTACTCAACTCAACCTAAGCATTTATCCATCATCATTCAATCATAAACAGTCAACCCACTTCATAAGCCAAATTTAGGAAACTTGGAAAGACATGGGTTCATGGACTTTTCTTTCTTAAAACCATCAATAAACATCAATAATAACATAAATCATTATTAAAAATCATTTAATGCAAGAACCCATGCTAGAACCGAAATTAGGACTTTATTGAGTTTTTGAAGAGCTTTCAAAACACTTTGATTTGGCTCCTTGAATGGAAAAGGAATCAAGGATAAAGGATTCTCATACCTTAACCTTCATAAATCCCACGAAAATTGAAGAAGAAACACCATGAAATTCTCAACCCTATCTCCCACTTCATCTTCTTCTTTGAGTTAGAGAGAAATATAGAGAGAGGGAAGAAAGACTTTGGGATTTTGATTTTGGGAAAAGAGAGTAAATGACTTGTTAAAAGACTTAAAACTTTATATAAGTCATTTAATTAACTCCTAACCGACCCCCTAAGCCCTTAATCTAATAACTAATTAATTCCCAAAGCCCCAACTAAAAATTAAAATGTCAAAAACTGGCAGCATCTACGGACCCCAAATCTCTTTGAACTAAACTCAAAAAGCCGATTTACATTATTTAATCAAGTTACCAACTTCAATACACATGTGAGGCTCTAGTTCTTCCTATTTCATTTTTAGGGTCGTTACACACTAAAGCTCACAAAAAGTATGGAGCACGTTGTTGTCATAGTCATATGTGAACAAAGAAGTATATACAACATCATAAACCTTGATAAGATCCAAAGTCTCCTTGTAGCAGTGCATCACATCCTCTACTCATTCCAGTAACTAGGAGTGTGTAGCATACATTGCTAAAATTAGAAGAGAAAACACTTCAATTGCTAAACATCCATCAGGATGAGAAAATTTGGAAGATGATATGTCATGATGAATAACATATTTCAATAAAGGAACTTTCATACGTGTAGCCTTGCTCTAGAAGTTTCTCATGGTGTCTTTGATATTGATTTTTTACCATTCTTTAAGGAGAAGATATTCATCATACGTCCCACTAACAAGGGAGAAGGCGCCGATAGCCAAAGGTTGAACCTCCAAAAGTAGGACTTTGACATTTAGATTTTGTTGGTTGCCCACTACTTCAAAAAGAGGATGCGCCCAATCTTGGTCACAGAAATGCATCGTGTTGCGGGATCAAAGTTGTATTGCTCTATCCAAAATCTACTAAATTAATTAAAAGGAAAAGGTCATATTCGTAAGAACATGTCTGAAGTAAATACGTTAACCCCAAATGTTTGTGGTTGTCGGAAGGCTGATTTGGAATAGAAAACTGAATGAGTACAGATTCAATCTAATCATGGTGTTCGTATATGATGTATCCCTACCAGTTTTCTTTCAACACCGCAAACTACTTGTGAGTTCGTTATTCCTACGTTGAGATATGATTTTTTTGAAGCTGCACAAAGCTGGTGCAGTCAGTTCATTAGAACTGTAAGCTGATTTCAAAAAATCACCTGAGAGAACCCGGGAGTTTTTTGATCATGATTTTCAGATATGTTGTAGCTCTATTAGTCTAGTTTCTGAAAAATTAAACAGATCACGATTTAGATATTCCTAAGACGATATATGAATTTTCTACCACAGTCGTGCTAAGCTGAAGAAAAAGTGACGAAAATCAGAGTTGGAAAAAGGACGTACTTGGGAGGGGGGGCTCAATTGAACTTGAAGATGCGACAAATCGATATACAATCACCAAGGGAATGTGGGTATATATATATTTCAAAATATGGAGACATCAATTTGATTCCTATTAATTATGAAAAATTATAATGATGAAAAGTTTAGTTCCTACAAATTATGAAAATTATGGTAAGTTTTCATAGGATTCAAATTATGGAAATTTCCATAGGAGTCGCGTCGAGTTATAGAAATTTCATTGAAATCAAATATGAAAAATCTAGAAAACCAAAGAATTAATAATGTGTGAAGTTTTCTTTTCTTGATACCAACATGGGAAGTCTAAGAAAAAAAAGAAGGAAAAGCGGGGCTTCAACATGTTTTTTTACTTCAAGTTGCATATGTCAACTATAAAAGTTTTTTCTTTTCACTTCAAGTTGCACGAAAAAATATGGCAACTATGAAGATGTTTGATAAATAAAACACCTCCTACAGATACACGTTTGTTTGCATACCGAAATGAGGATTTTAAGTCCTTACATTTTGTTCAAGTGGTCACGCAAAACCAAAGGAGGACCTACCGTGAGGGCGTTCAACATCAAGAAAAGCGACACCTAAAATTTGTGTTGAAATTATAAGTGGGATATCACCAGATCAAGCTTGCAGACGCAACTCTCATTCATCGAATTAACAACAATTTTTTTAGTTGATGAACAAAATCATTAAGCTACAAAGAAATACCATGCGATAAGTCTTCATGAGCTGAAAACACTTCAAATTAAAAATGAGTTATAAGTCAAGTAATCTCTTACAAATTAGAGAATGTTGTCAGAAAGACTCTTGTATATGTTGATTTGAATAACCTCAATGTATCGGCGTAGTCACTTATTATGAAGTTTCAAATATTTCTTGAAAGATCAACTACGTGAAAAAAAATATTTACTTCACAATTACTCCAAGTCTTGTCTTTACAAGTTAGGCATATCGAGCACCCCTACAAGCCTTGAAGCAGGGAACATTTGTAGATATTGTAGTCTTATCGATAAATTCATATTAAGTTGACAAGGCGAGCCCAACTCACATTCTTCAAGCCCAAGGTCCTCTAAATTACTTGGACCAAAATACCCATAAAACCCTAGCCCACGCCTATATAAAGGGGTCTTCATAAGATCAGAAGGACACACAAAAATACATAGAGAATCCTTGCTCTTCACTGGTGATCTGCAAGTCTTCCACATACAATGAAGTCTTCGCTCCAAGTGTTGAGCCACAAGTATTTCATCAAATAAAAAAAACAATTGTGAAGAGAAGAATCAGGGAATTACATCTCTTTTTTAAAAGATTTACAAAGATTGCAACCTTCGCACAAATTTAGATATAAATATCATTGTTTGCTTGGTATTTTTTCTTCTTGATAGCTGTATTTCAGGAACGAAACTTTAGTCGCATACATTGTTAAGTGGATATTTAAACGGCCGTGTAGTTAAAATGTTAAAGTAAGTTTTGTTGCCAAGTTCAAGGGGATTTGATGCATCTAATTTTATTTTCTTATATATATATATATATATATATATATTGCTTAGTTAATTTCCTCATTCACTATTATATATTCTCTTCAAATTACACTAACATGCTTTGCTCATTTATGGCAAACAATAAACCAAATTTTTTTAAGGCCAACATTCAACAAATGCTTTTCAACACGAAATCACCATCCAATTTGATCTATAAAAAAGGAGTAGTCAAAGTAAATTTGATAGTGTAATAATATAATTGGCCAAAGACATATGCAATACACAAGGCCTTAGGTCTTAGTTTTGGATGATTTCTAATTAATTAAGGGCATTATATATTTGTAATCTCATTCAGCAAAAGCTAAAGGTTTGAATCCATGGTTGATGCTGGCTTCCCAAATCTGGTGAACATCAATCATCTTATCTCCACACTCATGTACATTCCATCCTTCTAAGGCATGCACAATTCCTGCCACTCTTGGCGCACTCATTGCTCTTCTTGGAAGCCAATTCTGTCCACATATAATCATAGTAGTAATAGTTTAGTCACAAAATGTTTAAAGTATCTAAAGTTCACCCACTATAAGAGTAACATTACAATTTTTTTATTTTTTACACTAAATTATGTGTATAGTTCAGAAACTATAAAGGCCCGGAATGTAAAATTTTCGGTGTCTAATTTTCTTTTACCTCATATTTTTCAGTCAGAAAGTTGACCTTCTGTTTTCTAACAAATGCATATATATAGTTTGGTTATCTTATCTTTACTTGATATACAATATATTGTGGATGCCAGGAAGTCAACTAATTTAAGTATTTAATTATATTTTTGAGTAGATTTATTTATTTATTTTTATTTATAATTTAAGTAGCTTTATATATTATTCTAGAATAGGGTTTTATGTTTCATAATTTAATACCGATTAGGTTAAGTTATAGTTTTTAGTTTGGAATAGGATTTAGGTCTCCTACTTTCATAAGAATTAGACTTCCTATTGTTGTAATAAGACTCCTATTTAAAGGGGTTTTGATGAATAAAAGTACGTCATTTTTTAGCAAAAACAAGAGATTAGAGTTTTCTCTTTGAACTCTACAGTTTCAGTCTCCCTTTGAAGAGCTGAAGAGATTAGAGTTTTCTCTTTTAATGAAATCTAAGGTTTCAGCCTCTCTTTAACGAGCTGATTTAGATATCATCTTGTAAATTGATCCTTCCCTAAAGATTCATAAGACAATAGTAATCTCATTTTATTGTTATAGTTAGTAACTATACCTGAAATTATTACTTAAAAGAAGAAAATCAAACCTATTAAAATGTTATGAGTGATATAGAAGAATTAATACATTAAAAAGAAAAAATAAATATTTTATTTCCTACAAACCCAGCCTAAAAGGATAAAATAATAAGAAAAAAAAAACTTATAATGTGGAACTACTTATTCTTTACAAAATAAGAAGCAAGGGATAATATGAATATTCATATTTCTATTTTCACATTTTTAACGAACCCATATCCTACTCGACCCACCAGTTTACCTTCTCTGAGAGTAATATAGAAGAATAAATACATAAATGTTGACAAACCTCACAAGCATGCATGTTTTGAAGAGAAGGTGGAGCTAGCATTGCAGGAGGGTGATGGTAGAAGCAGTCGTGGCGAGCTTTCTTTGGAGGCAACTGTGAGAATGGGAAGAAATGTGTCCCTTTTCCTGCCTTCATTTGTTCTTCTTCTGTTAATCCATCTCCAACTACCCATATCTATTACCAACAATTTTTAATATATAAAATAAGAAAAGATTAAACTAAATTATTTTTACTTTTTTATTGCTTAAATTATGATTTCAAACTCATGATGAAGAAATGGAAAGAAGAATGAAAAGGGAAATTTTACCTTTTGATCGAATGTGTTTGACAACACGAAATTACTCGTAGTAGCAAGTTTTAGTTTCTCGTAGTCACTTTTGTACAAAGTAGCTACCTGAAATTTTAAGAATAAGAAGATCAACTAAAAATGAGGAATTGATACAAGGACAGAATATTTTAATTGGGAAAGCAACTCATGTATAATTTAATCTCCTAAATAAGTAAGAATTAGTGTATAAATTATCAAGCAAGATTGATTAACATTTTATAGATCATAGAATACAAAAATTGGTTAGCCAACTCAATATAAAAATTCTTCAATCAAGAATTGGTTAGCCAACTCATGAGCTTTTAAGTGAACCTGGCCATATCCAATCTGAAGATTAACTTGGTCTCAGTTAACATTATGTTCTCCAAACAAAAGTGACATAATACATGTAGGACGTCACATAGGAAACATATGTTTACTTATTCAATTTAATGCAAGTTTAATTGTTTACTTGTACACACTCAAAATTGAAAAGCATAAATAATAGTTAAAGGGTATATTTCTATAGTATGGCAAGAGAAAATGGTTAAAAGCGTAAGTAAACCTGGATGCCCCTTTGGGAGAGAGCAGAGGCAAGAGAAAAGGCAACTTTAGTAAGATTTCCTCTGAGAAGAACTTGTGTCGTTCCTTTTGGAATGCTGTTTAGCACAACAGCAACTGCCAAGCTGCTTCCATCCACCACCTTCATCTTTAGTTTAGGGTGCCTTTCTATGTAAACTTCTCCATTTCTGTTAAGTTCCTCATCCTGTAGATTAAGCACAAAAAAACCATAACATGTCTTTTTTTCCGTGTTACTAATATCTCTTACCCGTGATTATTTTTTCGTGTGATCACACTTTATTAATTTTACGCTATCAATTCCTGTATAGAAATTTACAAATTACGTGACATCAATTCCTGTATAGAAATTAACAAATTACCCGACTCGCCAATTAAGTACTTGCCTGGTTTAAAAGGCCAAGACTCAAGACCTTGGAACCTTTTTCTTCTGCTCGTAGTATAGCATCCTCTATGAAGCTATTAATAGCTTGTGATTGCCATTTCAACAAGTACTGCACATTAAAATAATTTTCAGCACTATTTTAATTTTAATGAATTAATATTAAAAGGAAAAAAAAAGAATCTGAAGTTGAAAATCTTCTTATCATAACCTGTAAATTGTATCTTGGTATGGCCCAAGATTGGAAATTAAATTTTTCGAAGCTATTTCTCTCCAAAATGAAAATGCGTCCGTAGATACAATTGATGATCATAGTCCACAAAGTCAGTGGCCACATGAACCAGATGTACCATTTATGGTTTTCAGGCATTGAAGCCAATGACGAAAATCCTAGCCTGATATGGTAGATGGATTCTGGGGTAGTCAAATGTGTCAAATGTACCACATCAGGTGCATCTTCTTGTCTCTTTAGTGACTTTTCATATAACGAATCAGTAGACTTGTCCATCGTCCCATAGATATAGTCATAAATTGGCATAAATAGAGAATAATTTGTACGAAATTGAGTATGATGCAAGGAGTGAAACCTGATAATTCAATGTCAAAATGCATGCAGTTGTCAATTATAAGATGCTAACATGCTTAGAGATGAATAAACTAAGTAAATAATATGTTGCTTCTTTTATTAGGGGACTTTCTCTTGTATGGGCGTTGACCCCTTTTTATTTTTGTATAGATTGTTCTAACAATATCTAATTTTATGTCTTGCTAGCGCAAATCCTCCAATAAAATAAGCAGTTAATATCAGACTTCTATAAAAATACACATGTACGATGTTTTATTTGAGGATCCAAGTAACATAAATAATTAGCAAATAATATATATTTTCTATGCATGGTGTTGGAAACCATTGAATATAATTTTGTTGAAGCAATATATAAGATCCATCTGCGCGCTCTGGTTGTATTAGTGGTGTGAAGGAGAAGTGACTTACGAGGGTGTATACATAGTGTATTTGAGAGGTGGAAATATGGAGAAAATCCAGTTGGGAATGAACTCAAAGTTGCAGTGTCCCATGTTATTCATGAGATCAATATAAGTAATGTATCCAAAGAGAGAAACCAGAGAAGCAGTCCCAGTAAACACTGTTGTTAAGGTTGGAATAGCAAATAGGAGGAAATATGCTATATGCTCAGCAAATGGATGAATCACAGCTGCAAAAGAAGAAAGTTTTATGCATTATCAACACGTTATATGTGAAACGGTAAAGAGAGAGATTTTATATTATTAGAATACAATACGTACATGTGATGGGCTGGGTAACAATGGAAGAGTGATGATGAGAATGATAGCGAGAATAGAGATAATGATGGTGCAATGCTCTGTGAAGCCAATAATAGAGAAATTCAACAGGACCCGCATGAAGGAATATTGATATCAACACACCATCTGATCTCCATAATGCCAAATTTGAAGCTCCATAAGTCAATGTATTGAAAACATATAACAAAATCCCGCTCAATATAATCTGATCGTCCCAGTTGTTTTCTCGGTCAACTTGATCAAATTCAATGCCTTTGTCAACAATGCGGTTATTGCCTTTCGCAGTTCGATAACGGGAGAAGCTAATCCACACCTGATTGTGAACCATTCTTGATACTAAAAAAGGCAATATGAGAAAGTTTGTCCAATCTCTCTCATATTCCTCTTTCCTTACAAAACAATACACACTCTCACAAATCCATGGACCCAAAATCACGTACTTTTATTATCACAAAAACAACCAATATTCATGTTAGTATATATTCTCATCACTCCCAATTAGTTTAATTCATATGTTTCATAATTGAAAATAATGATAACCAAAAAAAATAAATTATGATTGATACCTTGAAGTTACCGAGGTGCTTCCAAGGCCAATCAGTGAGAAATCCAGGAGTAGTAGCCATTATTGTTTCTCTAATTAGCTTAATGCAAGATGATGAGCAATTTATAGACAGACGCTTCAATTGAGAACACTCTATGTTTGGTATATTAGGTGACAAACTTTTATTTCATTAATTAAAAAAAAAAACGTAACTATTTCTTGTCGTCATTCTTCTCTATTTACCAATCTTCTCGAACTTTCTATTATTTTACTTAAAAATATAAGTTATACTACCTCCATTTTAAAATAAATGATGTTTTTATCTTTTTATTTCATTTCAAAAGTGGTGGTATTTCACAAAATTAACCAGACATTGATTTTTTCTTCTTATTTTAGATAAGTGAAGTTACTATTTTTGTTGGTCAGATCTTATAATCAACTAACTAGAAATATTTATACTTCCGGCGCATTGTACTCTAACATGGGGAACTATATTCAGAGTGTCTAATTAATACTCCTCTCCATTAACATTTTTGGCCAACTATCAGTAACATTCCAACTATATCTCTAACTCTATCCTCCTTTATTATTTATTCTCTTTTGTTGAAATCTTCTTGCATTTCTCTTATTCCATGCATGGTAGATATATAGCAGCTGCAAAAGCAATATCAAGGAAAATATAAATGAATTGTTTGTTTGTAGTTTTCTAAGCTAGTCATGCTATCTCAACATCCAGGAATAGGGGTGACAGAATTAATAATCTATATGGATGGATACCTATTAAAATTAGTCCATCTTAAATGAATTGTTGGGTTAGAAACTGATTAGGCCGTCATGCGGAAGATTACAATTGTAAATCATATAATAATAAATTAGATGACAAAAAACTTATACTAAAAACATAATATTATTATATGAAAACTAATATAAAAGAAAAATATTAAAACTGATGAGAGAATAAATCTCCCCATAAACTAAATTATTAAACGTCTACATTGTGGATGTTATTGTCTTTTCTTTGAGGAAAAAAATAAACTTCAAATAAGGTAAGAAAATCAGGGCGAAACCCTAACAAATCTCCCCTTTTTGCTGGATTTTCTTGACAAACCTTGATCCGCCTTCTTCATATGCTTGATAATCTTGTTCTTCACAAATTTTTCATGTATCACTGTTGCTTATCATGATTTAAAAATTGATATGGGTTAAAAATTGGAGTCATGTGTTAAAAGTTATTAGCAGGGTTAAAAGTGGAGTTCATGCGTTAAAAGTAATAGCATGAGTTGAAAGAAGAGTTCATGCGTTAGTTTAAAGTAAGATGTATGAGTTAAAAGTGAAGCGCATGTGTTAAAAGTAAAGATACATGAGTTAAAAGTGGAGCCCGAACATTAAAGTTTGAAGGGGTTGAAAGTTGGAGCTCATGCTCTAAAGAATGACTATGAGTTGAAAATTGATTTGAAAATTTTCTCCACATGTAGTATCACAAAAATCTGCATTATCATCAAGTTGATTCCAAATTGATTTGAAACCACTTGAACATGTCTTCAATCTTGTTCAACCATTGGATCATTGAATTATGTGCTCTGATAGCACTTGTTGGGTTCGAAAGTTATTAGGGCATCATACGGAAGCTTACAATTGCAACTCATATGATAATAAATTAGATGACAAAAACTTATACTAAAAACATAATGTTAATAATGAAAACTAATATAAAAAAATATTAAAACTGATGAGAGAATAAATCTCCCTATAAACTAAACCCTTAAACGACTAAATTATGGATGATATTGTCTTTTCCTTTAGAAAAAAATAAACTTAAAATAAGGTAAGAAAATTAAGGCAAAATCTTAACATGAATGATAACCTATTTAAGATGGACTAAAAATGAATAAAATCTATATTATTAATTTAAAAATGGATAGTTTAATGGGTAACAGAAGTTTATTCATAAAAGAAAGAAAAACTACATTAATAGTTTTTTTGGACCGTAGCTAGGTGGTATGGGAAAGGAGGTATTATTAAAAAAAAAATTGGGGCTATCGCGCGCGGGGGGGCCGGGGGGAGTGATAGGGGCTGATAAAAAAAATTAAAAGTTTTGAATTTTTTTTAAAAAAATACATATTATTTAATTGATGTTTTCAATAAAATTTATTAACATGAAATTTTTATTTAAAACTACAATTTTTAAAAAATAAAAAAGATATTATTTAAATTATTAAATAATTAAATAAGATAACAAATTAGCTCTTTAAATGTTATCTTTTTTATTTAAATTATTTAAAGATACCGTTTAAATTAGTAGCCCATACGTCTCTCATTAATTTCAAATTGTTTAGGTTGTAATAAAAAATAGAAAGAAACTGGAACAGTGTACATATGAGTTACTTATTGAAACTGGATACGTACTAATTTAAACGATATCATTAAATAATTTAAACGGTATCTTTAAATAAAATGATATCTTTTTATTTTTTAAAATTTTAGGTTTAAATAAAAAGTTCATGTCAACAAATTTTATTAAAAAATTAATTAAATAGATTGAGTGACTTTGTAAGTAAAACACTTATAGTTGAGTGAATTTCTATGAAAAAAGCTCAGAGTTGAGTGTCTTTTGAGTTAAAAAAATCAAAGTTGAGACTTTATGTGAAAAAAACACATAATTGAATGACTTTTGAGTTAAAAATCAAAGTTGAGTGGCTTTCTGTGAAAAAATTCATAGTCGAGTGATCATCTGAAATATTATTTCTTTTTTTTTGTTGGGGTGGGGTCGTGAGGGGGAGGGTGTGGCTCGGGGTGGTTGGGGTCAGGGTCGGGGTTGGGGATAATAAAAATAAAATAAAATTAAGGGTTGGGGGTGTGGGGAGAAGGTGGGCTGGCAGGGTACAGGGGCTGCCGGGCTGGGTTGGGACTGATAAAAAAATAAATTTTCTTAAAAATAAATAAATTTGTGGGGTTAAGGGTTCAGCTGTGTATCAATCGGTTCAGTTTTTGTATTTGAAATTTATCGATCTGACTTATTAGTTATCAATTTGTAGATTATGTTAAATCGTTATAGAACCATTAAGATATTGGCTTAACGGTTATTGGTTTATCGGTTATTGATCGTTATCAGTCCAATTATCAGTTAAACTGTTAAGATTAAACACAAAAATATCATCAAAAAAATCACTTAAAAACATGGTGACAAAACAAATGAATCATGCACATAGTTGACAGATTGCATCTTAGGCAAAAACAAACATTGACACATTGTAGAATAACTAAGATTTTGAGACAACAAAAAATAAAAGTATGAAACTAAGCTCTAAGTCAATGACTTTATACATCAAATAGTATAAATATAATTATTAATTTGCTATCGGATTATCGATTAACATGTTAAGAAAAAACTTCAAACCGTTAAAAAATGATAACCCGATAATAAAAAAAATTAAATCATTAACGAAACTACTAAATCAATAAAAAAATTTAAGTTCGAATTATCGATTTCGTTTTGATTTTGAACAGTCCTAGAGTGGAGTGGGATAATTTATTTTTTGTTTTTTAAGCATTTAACAGGATCCCTAGTCCCTATGATAATATAAGTATCCATTGAGTAACTTGTTTTTATCTGCTTAAATTTGAGCCAAATTAAATATTTCCTTTATTTTTATCTAGTTTTTTTCGATCAACTCGTATTTGATTTGATCCTTTTTTTGTCGCTTCTAATCTAAGGTGACAATTATACTATTGAGTCTGGTCCACATAATTTGAATGCTCCAGATGAACTGGGAGTAAAGGCATTAGAAGAATTAGAAGATAGAACACACACTTTTGCAATTAGTACTTCCCACTTTTCTAACCTGTCAATTTTACTTTTACTAAAAATAGTTGAAGGTAAATTAGTGAAAATGCTCTTTTTGTTTATAATTTCTTAAGGGATATTTAAAGAGAAAAATGGATAAATAATATGGCTAAGTGGAGTAACAATTAATGGACAAATTTGATGAAAAAAATATCATAACAATTAATGGACAAATTTGATGAAAAAAATATCACTTTTATTTAGTCGATGTTAATAAACACCAAAGAAAAAATATTAGAGCTTTACTGTGTTGCGCACTGATGTACTAATCTCTTTGTTTTAATTGCTTGATTTTTTTTCTCTATTTAAAAAGAATGGCTATTTCTCTATTTAACAATTTCTCTAATTCTAACTTTTACATGACATATTTAAGATCACAAGATTAAAATGCATTTTGATATGATTGACATATCTTTAATTTTAAACCATAAAATTAAAAAGTTTCTTTACTTTCTTAAATTCAGTATCAAGTCAAAATATGTCAAACAAATTGAAACGGAGGAAGTACTTCCGCTAGGAAACACACCCCTTAAGAAAAAGATTTTAGGACATAACTAAAAGTTAATTTTTTACCATTATCCTTTTGATTATTCTTAAACTATTCTCCTAAAAAATTTAAAATAGTTAAGAACCTCAATAAAAAAAAAAGAATAAGTAGGAAAAAAAAAAGAGTCTCATCAATTTTCTTTAAATTTTAGAAAAAATCACTTATTTTAAACTATAAAAAAAGGTCTACAATTCCTAAATTTTGTATGGTGACAGATAGCTAGTAGCTGGGAGAAGAGTTACTTTAATATTCCTAAATTTGAATGCTGACTAGTGACTACAATTAATTGCACATCACATGCGATGACTCTTTGTGATTGTTACATAATTAGACACAGTAAATATCTCGATTGGTTATAGATGCCATTATAGTTTTATGTAAAAAATTGGGAAGCTGATCACCAAATACAAGAATAGAAGAGCTCCTTCTTTGGTTGATCAACCACACATTTTCTTATTACAAATAATAATAAAGTGAATTTTATATATGCACACAAACTTTGAAGATAGCACCCTCTTTGGATGATAAATCATAAAATAATCACTTGTTACTAATTATAGGTTACCAACGTTAATGATATTTATCTCTTAACTATGTGTTTTTGAGAGAGACATTACTAGTGAGAATTGGTACACTAACCATGGCTAATTATTAGGGATAATTGTATTTTATGAATCCCAATAGACTCTTG